CTTCACCATAACACAAATACTTCACCATAATACAAATGTTGTCTTGCTTCGCCATAAATTAAAACAATATCCATCAACTCTGAGTTGCTATACACGCAAGCCATTTTTGACACTAACTACTAAAAAACAGATGTAAATACCACAGATAACAGGTAAAAACTACCGCAACGAAGGATTTCAGTATTAGGAGTCACATGGCTCTCCACGCGTATTGCGAATGACGCTAGAAACTACAGTTGTCCAGCTATGTAGTGGTTTAATGTGCTATAACTTCAATAATTTTTTCTCAGAAATTATAAGGATTTTACAAAAATTTTTTTTACAATATTGACTCCATTTCTCATGCCGCATCTATTCCCAAATTTTTTTGGATAAGTTGTGAATCACCCTGTATATTGAAAAAAATACATATAGAAACTTACTGTTCAATCCACAAAGGATTTTCTGTCGTGTTCAAATCATCTATTATGGCCTTTTTGATTAAGGCGTCCTTCTTCTTTAAATCCGTCGGAGATATGACCCAATGCCTCAAGCAGCAGCAGACGATAATGAACGTAATTATACCCACGAAAATTACTATCGACAGAGCTATTAGAGCAGCTAGGGCTGGGTCAAAGGTCTCTTCTTTCTCCGTTACGAAGGCAGGGACAACATTCTCGATGGCAAAGCCAGCATAGTAATCTTTGAGAAAGTCGTATTTTGAGTCGATTGTTTTCAGGACGTCGGGAACTGGTAATATCATTTGAGTTTTGGGATTGACGACTAGAATGTATAAATCTGACCTATAAGAAAAAATGTCTGAGTTGTTTGGTTTAGTTTTGGAAGTAATTTTATAAGTAGGTATAGTTTTGTTAACGAGACAATATGTTTTTGGCTTTTTAACTGGGAATACCTATTTAAATTGAACTATTATTAGTTAAACGTACATATTTAGGAAAATAAAAAGTTAATAACTGTAGGTACGTACTAAAATAATTTATGAAATTGTCCCGATGTATTTGTGTTTACTATTTTCAAATAGTAGTATTCTTTTTATAAATGGTTACAACTATATCGCCGAAGATTTCTTCAGTAACAAGTCAATAACGATTTTCCCGACCCTATAACTCGTACGTTTATGTACGCGTGTCCCAAAATCACGCTACACGAAAAAACAATAATATTTTAAAAATATTGAAAGTTTGGTAGTTACAGTTTCCAATTTTCGTATGAAGTATGGTCGGAATACTGATTTAACTTCAACAATTGTAACGAGATTAATTGAAAAATTCAGGGAGACTGAATTAAAAAGATCGAAGCTATTCGTAAGAGTGTCCAGGAACATCAATTTGGCACAGTGGTCAAGAATGGGCTCATACAGTAAATTTTCAAAAACGTCCTTATTTTATATACACAAAGTATTGCTCATAATTAGGCGATCTTGAAAATTTCAACTCAATCCGTTGAGCGGTTTTCAAACTATCTGATTTTTAAAATGCGAATATTTGCCTCAGCCGTGGCAATGCAATGACGTCACCGCATGGGACGGTCAGCCGGCTTGGCGCTACTTCTAGACGAGTTTCTGCATCTACAGATTGTTCTAGCGTTTGTGCATATTAAATTTAAAAAATGGAAGCAAATTTCGTAAAAGCAGATTCTTTATTTATAAAAACATCAACAATGCATAACACAAGTATATAGTGTTTCTAGAGGATACAAACATATTTACTACATACCTAAATTAAGCAGGGTAGTTTTGTTGCTTTCAAAATAAGTAATTTTTCAAATAAAAGATATTAAAAAAAACAAATCAAAGTAGAGACTAGTAGACTATTTATTTTAGATCTGCACGACAGAATTACGGGGACATTATTATTTTATTAGGCATCTTCACACTAGTGCTCTCACACTGGGGAATAATACAATATTTGTAATTTATTTCTGTTCTGTGCCTTCCATATTGCTAACAAAATTCGATATCTTAACGTACTCAATCGAAACTTAACCGGCAACTAAAACCCGACTGGACTGACTGACAACACACACAAGCATGCGGCATCGGTTTCCCATGCGGTCACACCCGTTGGTTCAGCGGATACTCAGCGCACCAGTTTATGATTTTTTTTGAATGACTTGTAGGCGATATAAAGTTCTAATTTTTCGCAGACAACCTTAAAATTGCAATATTTTTCTGCTTATCAAATAAAAAAAAATTTCTGAATAAGCCTATTGGACATTTCTAGAAGCTCTTTACAGCGTATTCTCACGAAAAATTTGCATCTTCATGGTTACAAAGTTCAAATTGACTCAAGAACTGAAGCCTACTGGTCAGGCAGAGCGAAGAGAGTCCGTTGAAGGGATTATGGACAACAGGTGGATACTGATTTTTCAAACAAAGTCATCTTGAGCAATGGAGCTCATTTTCATGGCCTCATTAATCGACAAAATTGTCGCATTTGGGGTTTAGAAAATCCACGAGTGATTATTGAGAAACAAATGCATCCACAACGTGTCACTGTTTGGTGCGGATTTTGGGCTGGAGGCATCACTGGACTGGTCGTGTAATTTTTTGTTTTGGTGAACAGATTTGGCCGCCCAGATCATGCGATTTAACGCCGTTTTACTTTTTTCTTTGGGGTTTCTTGAAGTCTAATGTGTATATCAACAAACCCATAACCATCCATCCTTGAAAGAGGACAATTGAGAGCTTTATCAACGAAATTCAGCCGCATTTATGCAAAACGGTCGTGGAGGTCATTTACCCAATATGCTATTCCATACATAACCCTAAACTGTATATTTGATGAATCAATAAAAAAATTACAATTTTTAATTAAAAACTTGTGTTTTTTATCAAAATTAATTGAGACACCCATTGGATATAAAACAAAGATAAACGATATGTCTTCGAAGTTCCAATGAAGCGGTTCAAAAATTTTCTGAAGTAGTAGAGAGATATTTTGCATACTATGTAATATAAGAGTAAAATTTAATATAACACAAACTAAACATGAATGTTTTCTTTTATAAAAATAATTAATTGCATTTCATTTGTAAAAAGAAACTAACATACTTCGGGGTTTCGGAACTAGATGTGACAACATTGTTCTGCCTTTTATAAGATCATTCAACACTCAAGAATTTTTATATGGACCTTAGTTCGATAAATTGATGCTCCTCTTTATATGTCCTTAACTTTCACGTTCTATTCATTGAGTTTGGATAGTTTGGAGCCTTTATGAATGAAAATACGATTTATTCTGTTGAAATTTGATCCTTGCAAATAGTATTTCCTCTAAGCATTCTTTTGATACAGTGTTTTAATATAATACACTCATTTGAATCCAGATCGAAGGTGACCATGTTGTAGCCGTTATTTAAAAAAAAGTGTTTGTGTTAAGAGAATCGTAACTAAAAATTAGGTAAACACTATTATGAGAAAAAAAATGACCTAATAGTTGTTATTAAAACTGTACTGTTTCCAAGTAAAAAGTTTATCCATATGATAAATTATCCATAATTTCATATAATGCATGTAATTGCCTCAAATAACTAAGTACTTACCAGTCTTCATTCTTCAGTCCGTTGTCGCCAATGTGGTATCTAATTTCGTCAATGATAACCAAACTTTGAGTGGCATTACTTAATTCAGCAATAATTTCATCTCTTTCCTTTGTAACTTCTTCCTTTGGTCTGGACAAGATGACCCTTATTAGCTGCTCTGGCTCAAAAATCCACACCTACGAACAAATACAGTTCATTTTATTCGCGCGAGCACCTAAAGTATAAATGGTAGCAGGTAAGATTTTAAAACACTTCTTTTTCCGTTAACCTTGATTTAATACGAGATATAAGGTGTTCAAAATTAATGAAAATGTATCGTTTAAGTCGCAAAATGTGGATGAGGAGAACTGTATTGTAATGAACCTGTTTTATTTTTTGATTTTATTATGTCTGGATTTAAAAATATTTCTTTTTATTTCGGATTATTTTACCCCGGCGGCGAGAATTATTGATTTTTCTACATATATATCAAATATCCACTCGCGGGTCCGACCGGCCGATACCCCACTCTGACAAGCCGTTGGTCACGTGGAGGTCCCACCACGACTGGTGTCAATCCGGTGGGGATTTGGGCAACAAAAGTCCGCGACATTCCCCGAAACCGGCAGTTCGTATCCACAACTCAATACCGAACAGATGTCCACCGCCAGCAAGTACTCTCTACCGAAGCCAGCCCGGAATAACCAGTGAACCTAGTAAGAATTATTTTCCTTATTTATTATCCGTTCCAACCGGGTACAAGTCCGAAAAGATTTGTACACTTTAAGTGTGGAATTACTGTGGGCCCGAGAAGAATATTCTTGGTAACCCACACACAAATTCCACCGTCCGTCTCAACCCATACGACAGTGCAATCGTTGGATTCGGCGTGTAAACCCAATCCTGACGAAGCCGTCGTGTTTACTACAGCGTTGCTTGGTGTCCCGCACTTTGATATACGCTGGGTAATAGGGGATATGTGAACCAAGACCTAGAGGTTCGGCGTGCCCACCCAATCTCCGGGTCGTTCCATATAGTATACGTACGCTTCTCCCTGGTCGGCGTGTATACCCATCAGACCGAGAAGCGTTGTATACAGAGAGTCCGACACCATCGGTCACCAGGACGTATAAAGCTTAAAGGCTAGTATGAATTGTAAGGCGATACTTCGGATCCCGTTTCACCATCCTATCTTTCCGCCTTGCACCGCTTGGGCTTTCTTCCCTGGTTATTGCTATCGCTTACCGCTTACTAATTTTGCATTGCTTGCTAGGCCATGATACCGATATTTGCCCGCCCGCCTGTTTAAAATAAGTCCGAAATAATTCCGAATAAATTTTGGTTTATTTTCAGAATCAGCGGGGACCAGTAAAAAAAAACGTCCATAGAGAGAGAACCGAGGAAAAGTGCGTCACAGTATAAATAATTTATTTCCATCAGTATTTTATACTTTGAGTTCATTTAGCATATTTTTTTAAATTTTAAATTTTAAAATAACTTTAAGGAAGTTTATAGCAACTGTTATAATTTGCCCCGTTCTATATCTTTAACAATTTACAATATTCCTATTGTATCCACCTTGAATAGTTTTAACCCAGTCAGTGTGACGCCCATTACCCTAGCTATGGGAATTATTCGGAAAGAGGGAGTTTCTTACCCCCAAACCTCCCCCTTGGGCACGCCACTGGATGGGAAAGTGATACGGGTCACCCTGAATAGCTTACGACATAATCTTTTAAGTGCATTATACTTACATATACTTGTGCGTAGGCCTCCCTCTCCGGAAAGGCATTTTCTCTAGCCATGACGTCGATAACGAACCTGTGCTGGTTATTTTCGGCCAAGTAGGTGGCCGTGTAAATCTCTCCTCTTTCGCTGATGTTGAAAGGGGACGGGATAATCGATCCCGACGTTTTATTGGAGTCGAACTTATACAAATTCGAGGCCTTTATGTAATAAGTCAAAGAACCATTAAGTCCGAAATCCGGGTCCGAGGCAGTGACGTTCGTCACGAAGTCGTTGATGTTGGCCATCGCGTTCACAGCGGCGTAGTAAACTGTATGTTCGAACACCGGAGCGTTGTCGTTCAGGTCGCTGATACTGACCCTACAGATTTAATAATTTAATATTTTTTTTATTGCCACTTATTCGTTTATTGTTAAAATTTTTAAATGAACACCGATTTAAAAAGATATGCCCGAAAAAACGATTTCTAGGAAAAAACTACCCTTATTTTCATTTTGGGGCAATCATATGCATGGTTCTTCACGTTAAGTGGCCTGTTAAACGTTTCAGAGAAACCTTAAATAATATGACTGAAATTTTGTTTACGAGGGTTATCAGAGATGCTCTCTTCAATGAAAATAATGTCGTTACTTCCGGTTATATCGAAAGTAGCTGTCAGCTTCATTATTTTAAATGGAACACCCTATATATTGTTGCATTATCGACAACATAAATTAAAAATAAGTTAAAAATATTAAAACTTGCCTGTTCCTAAATCTAAACCGTTTTCGAGATAATCGAATTTTATAAAAATTTTGACAGATACAAGCGTTTCGAAAATTCTTTATATCATTTGTTCTGCAAGCTTTGTTGCAAAATACCAAATCATGGAAATGAAGCTAATAATTCTGATTCATGGTGAATGTCCCATGGATCTAAAATGAATTCAAAATATCTTCATTAGATTCATTATTTTGTATTTTTCTTGTCGAGCAAATAGGTACCTAATATTTGTAAAATACTAAATGACAATACCAATATTTGTCTTTCAATCCACATTTGATGATATTATTAACGTAATATATTTGAGAAACCACAAATCGAAGCAAAAAGTTGAAACTAACCCATACAATGCCTATATCGGTGAAAAGAAAATTTGATATTTTTATAATATAATTATATAAAATACAGAGTGTTCAATTTGAAATTAAAAAGTTTTGCCGGTTTTAAGTTTTCAAAATTCATTTCCTTCAGATGATTTTAATAGCGGAAAGCTGTGCATCTTATGCTCTTTGTGTGTTCCTCAGAACGAAGAAAGATATAATCGAAACTTTGACATCAGTCAAAATTTGTATAAAATGTCGATTATCTCGAAAACGTTTAGATTTAAGTATAGGGAAGCTATAATATTTTCGAATCATTTTTAATTTATCTTGTCGATAATGCAATAATATATGGTGTGACCCATTTAGAATAATTAAATGAGTTACTTCCAGTATAACCAGAAGTGATACGTTGATGGCATTATTTTCATTGAAGACGGCATACTTGATAACTCTCGTAAACAAAATTTCAGAGTCATATTGTCTTCGGTTTCTCTGAAATTTGTCGTAAGGAACCGTATATAATCACATTACAAACTTTTCGGTGATAGTCATTTATTTGTTTTTGAGAAACCTTGTATACTTTGGGCGTACCTACAGTTCATCGAATAATATTTTTGTCGTGAAATGATTAATAAATAATATGTCATATATTTTATATATCTTTCAAAAATTTAACAAGTGTGTTGTGAAAAACATTGTTGTTAGAAGCATTATGGGATAAATCAGTGGTGCCTAGGTATATAATATTTGCTTATTTAAATTCTATCTGCTGATCAAGTAAATCCTGATAGAACTTTATTCATAAATTCTTGAAATATTTAGGGAGCATTTCTTAAACCAAACGGTAACCACAAAAATTCAAAAACTTTAAATGTATAGTAATATCTGGATTTTGATGCTATGAGCTCCAATCAAATCTATTAAAAATGTTTTACAATTTGTTTGGAATAAGAATCATAAATTAAAAGGGAAAGGGTCATACCTGATCCTTGCGATGCTCCGGTCGTGCATCACCTCCTCCTCCTCCATCTGGCTGACTTGCTCCGCGGTCAGGTGGAAATTGGGGTCGTTGTTGGCAATGACGAGCAGGTCGTACTCCTCCTTTTGTTCCCGGTCAAAGGATACATTGGCGTAGAGGCCACCGTCGGCTCGGTCTAGGTAGAAGGCGCCGTCCTCGTTGCCGGACAGTAAGTAGTAGTAGACTTTCGCGTGATTGCCCTCGTCCCTGTCCAGGGCTTTGACTCGACCTTTAATTGGAAGGAAAATTCGTTTAGTACGTGGGGGACGTACCGTGAGGGCGCTTAGTTAATTACTGTTTTACTGCGGGTGACATATTTTATTTCATCATGCAGGAGGTATCGCCCGACGGTTAGTTAATTTAAGTTAACTTGATGCATGAGAAGTTCATTTAGCCCCTTTCATTTCGTAAGCGTGAAAGCCCAAGTAACATTTTTCGGTTTATAATGGCTGCGAGTAAGTAACTTTCACTAAATTATGTAACCAAGGATCGTTTTTTATAATTATAAAATCTTTATAGTCCTTAAACTGTGGAATTTACTACTTTTTCTTTAATAACTGTAATTGCTTTACTGCCCATGATGGCCTATTGGAAAATAAGTTATTTCGTGTTGTAGGAATTAAATTGCCTACATCTTAAGATCATATTTCACTAATTTATTAACTATACAATAAAGATCGAACGCAGCAAAATCAGATTTCGAAAATTGGCCATTATTATTGCAAAAGGTGATGGATATTGATGAAATTTATAGAAAAGACGGTCAATACAATAACCAACATGTGTGGCAAAAGCAGATTCGATTGACCATGCAATTGTAGCCCCAGGTACATGTCAATTAATTTCGTTCCCTTTCTTGCAATTTATTGTTTAATTATTAAACGTTAGTGTTAGAAGTTAATATCGTAGATATATAAGTTCTAATTGATAATAAACGTATCGATAAAGAAAAATCTCGAAAAAATGAAATTAAGTTGCCCTTTACGACTAACAAATAGGAAGTGCAAAACACCATTATAATAAATTCTCCCAAGGTCACGTAAAAGCCGCTCGGAAATTCGCTCTTTTTGCATTAAATAGAGCAACATAGAGTCACTTCTTTTAAGTTAGTTTTTTGATATTATCATTCTGCGTACTCTTCACCGTCATAAAGTGCAATAAAATGTCTACTAATATTTTTTTTCAGGTTTATGATCTAATTCGACTAATTAATATAATTATATTAATTGTAATTAATAAAACCTGAAACAAAAATTATAAGAAGTATTGGAATCACTTGATATTTTTTCTACAACTATTTTTTACTTCAAGACTAAAAAATAAAATTACAAAAAATTAAAACTATTCGAAGATACTGATAACTTAATATTTTCAAATTTTAAACAATAAAAATACAATAAAGAAAATAAATAATTATGAAAAATAGTGGCGATGAGTTTTCCAATTCGAAATGTCACAAAACGTGTTATTATACAGGGTCGGAAAGTCCCCATGGTTCATCAGCCGTTATGTGAAAGCGATAAAGTAAGTCATAGAAATCCATGCGATAGAGAAGGACGGCTATAATGAAGGCGTCTCATAGTCACCGCCCGTTTCGCCTTTCCACAAATAAGATTCACTTCCACTTGTAATTCAGCGACCGGTGGTCATCTTTATTTTCAAATAGGGAATTTTGCTTTATTTCTTGGGATTTTTAAGTCATTTTAAAAAGTATACTTAAATAACAACTAAATGAACTTTAAATGCAGCTGAGCACTATACTCCATTTGAATAACTTCTCAGTAGGGGAAACAAGGTCACTAGATTTACAAACAGAGGTATCTACTAGCTACTGTAAAAAGTTTTCGTTGTTACGCGTTGTGCTGTCCTCTGTTAACGGATGGTATTAACATATCGGAATACCGACGTCGAAATTGTATAAGCAGTGACATCTATTAAAGAAAAGCCAAACGACGAAAACAAAGATGACCACCGGTCGCTGAATTACAAGTGGAAGTGGATCTTATTTGTGGAAGGGCGAAACGGGCGGTGACTATGAGACGCCATCATTATAGCCATCCTTCTCTATCGCACGGATTTCTGTGACTTACTTTATCGCTCTCACGTAACGGCCGATGAACCATGGCGACTTTCCGACCCTGTATATCATCCAACTCGTAAGAAAATAAGGTATACATTGGTCTGTAAATAGTAATAGGTTTTTAATAAAAACAGAAAATTGAAAAAACTGTTGAAGATTGCTGAAATATGGACACGTTGTAATACAATTCTGATTCATATTTTAATGGAGGAGCAAAAATAAATTCTATTTTCGTATAGCTTTTCAAATAAACCCAGAAAAATAATTAACATTAGATCTGAGTATTTCGTATTTTCAAAAAACCATAAGACCCAACAAAGATATTTTTGATTTCTATTAGAAAAATCAATATATATACTAAAATAGTTGCAATTTATTTATTCGGTGGAATTATAAATTTTTATACAGTGCTTTAAAGAGAAAATAACTTTTCAATAGCTGTCGCTTTGTTTAATGAAATGTTTCTTTTACTTAATCAGTTAATCAGATGGCCCTGAAAATATCTATAAATTGATACCCTTAAACGTTATGGCGATATATAAAAAGGAATTTTAGATATATGATATATTTTAAAAATTATTCGATTTACCTTACAAATTGTTTTTAAATGTGGCTTTTGTAACAAAAGCCGGGACGCGTGGTATTTTATTTGTTAGTTCTCGAAACGGAGGGGCCAAAAAGTAAAATATTTCAGTCAACACTTTAATTAATTTATCGGAAAGTGAATGGCTCTCAAGTAGGTATGGCGTTGTCCTTGGGGGAAAAGCAATATTTTTTTAACAAGTTCACTTAGAGTCGGAGCCATGTGACAGTCATCTGTTGCATCTGGGAGGCACCAGCGTGGAAACCCATATTTTTAATAACGCGCGAAATCACGAGAAGAGCGTAAAGGTTCCAAAGTCAAATTGTTAAATTGATAGTAATTGGAAAAGAAAGTAACAGATCAAGTAGCTGGTTTTTTTGACGGATTTTCCAAGCTATAAGAGTAGATTAAATGAGATCGACTAATCCGTCCCGTATTTGCTACACGGAGTCGCTAGAGGAAGGCTAGGGTTACTTGTAAGTCACATAATTATTTATATAAATGTAAATTCACTCCGTTAGACAATTATTAACATGGCATAGTTATGCCAAAGCGTCCCGACATTCAGGGTTCCCGTCAATAAGATAAGAACAGAAACTTCTGGACACAAGAAATGGGCGTGTCGAAGCGAGGTGTCGAAATCGGGAAAGATCTTGAAAAGGTTAGTTCTTCCTTATGTTCCACATTGAGCAGTCGACTTAGTTTTAGAGTCTCGGGCTAGTTAATTAAATTTGATAATGGATAAAGTTTTTTCCAAATTTTGCTATGGAGCGCGCATTCCCTGAATCTCGGTACGCTGTCGCGTGTCAATAAAGTAATTAATAATGTTTTTCGAGCCGTTGTGTAGGTTGCTTGTTTGTTTGTTTTGTTTATTGTTATTAAAACCCTTCCTGGAAGTTATGGTGTTTCCTTTTGTTTCTCTCAATTTCAGTGTCACCCTGTATATCCAGCCACTGGATTACATTCTACGTAAGCAATAGAGGGTAAGTGCCTGAAATTCATTCTCTGAACATACAACATTTCTAAGTTTCCACGTATTAATTAAAGTATAATGATAATTATAAACTCCATTTCGAGAATTGCATAGAAAACTCTTTTGAAATGGGGTCTCGTTATGATACTGGTCATAACGGTAGTTAGACAATTAAATAAATAACCCCTCAGTTTATACTTTTCTACACTAAATTGTGGCATATTAGTCAAATCTTACGTATCGCGTAGGGGGTTACGAAAATGAATTGACTTAGTCGTTTATTATTCAATGAAATAATAACTAGAGGTGAGTAAAATAACACTCCTCTTTATATTTCATACAGACTTTTAGTCACGCTCCCCCAGAGTTTACCTTTTTACTACAATTTATATAGTCCAGAAACAAAAGGGCCAAGATAACATTAATTTTTAAGCAGCGACATTGTACGGTGAAATGCTTTTGTGAAATATTAAGAAAAGCCCAAAGCCTTTTTTTACAGAAAATAGCTGTTTGCTGAGTATCTAGACTTTCATGCAAAATTATTATGTGCTTTCAATTTTTAAGTGAAATTAAGTGGCAAATCAACAAAACAGAGTTCGTTCTTAGGTGAATTTTTATTTTTTAAACCATAATAAAGTTATAAACAAGAATGATACGCTATTCGAAACTAGAATGTTCAGCTTAGTGCTGATTTATTTGCATTGCCGATACAAAAGATGACAATTAAATTTACTGAAAACGTAATTTTTTGAAGGAATATTTTTTTCATACATGCTATTAAATGTTTAAAAACTCTTTTCTTTATTTGCACTGTTACATCAAGTAAAAGGCGCTCTTAATATATAGAATAGAATGTCAGTTAAAAATTTCAATTAATAAATAAAGGCTTTAAAAAACCGCAAAATATAAAATACAACTTTAAATACGTGGGGACGGTTTTGAACTTACCTATCAATATATGTCTCTCATTGTTCTCAGTCACGTAAAAGTGGTAAGGATTGGTTGATTTCGATCCTGGAAATTCTGGTCTGTTGTCGTTCTCGTCTACAAGAAGCACTGTCAGGTGCCTGATGGTTTCATACCATTTGGGTGAGCCGTGATCCCTTGCTACTAACACCAACTGAAAGTCAAAGACAAGTAAATAGCTAATATCAAAATTAAGTTCTATAATCTGACAAACAACTGAATTGAAAACTGGGAAGAGTGAACTAATTACATTGTTATGAGCCGCGTGTTCCGAATTCGAGAAATGTTAAAAAGTATTTACCCACCTCATATTTCGATTTTGTCTCTCTGTCCAGGCTTACTTTCGTCCTGAGTTCGCCAGCGTTTGGATTGATGCTGAATTCTTCTGTCTCTTGAACATTCTCTTCGTCCACTTTGAAGTGGTACGTAAGTCTTCCGTTTTCGTTCTCGTCCTTGTCGATTGCCTTCACCGTCATCACTAAATAGTTTTCGGCTGCTTCGTTCTAGACGGAAATTTTCATCATCTATTAGCAAATTCTTAAGGAACTTATTTTATTTTGGTCCATATGAAAAAATGACTAGGTTTTTGTTTAAAAATGTTGACACTAACTATGAAATCCAAAAAGTTAACTCAAGATTTGAAGTTGGCGCCATATGTGCGGTAAGGTAATGTCAACGAAAAAAAAATACAGCGTTATGTAAAAATGGAGCGGTACCTACACGAAAGAACAAAGCGTTTTCATTGTTGAGTAATATTTTAAAAATAATGAAGTACAATATGGTTGGAATCATGATTTAACTTCATCAACTGTGAAGAGATTAATTAAAAAATTCAGAGAGACTGGATCAATTAAGGATCATAAACACTCTGGTTTTTCTTCAACAAGTCGTTCAAGACAAAACATCGAAGCAATTCATGAGAGTCCAGGGACATCAATTCGACACCATGATCAAGAATTGGACGATGCTTACAAAGTTCAATTCACTCAAGAACTGAAGCCTATTGACCACGCAGACCGAAGAGAATTCGTTGAATGGATTACGGAACAACAAGTGGATGTTGACTTTTGGAACAAAATCATTTTCCGCGATGAGGCTCATTTTCAAATCGATGGCCTCGTTAATCGACTAAATTTTCGCATTTGGGGTTCAGAAAATCCACAAGTGATTGTTGAGAAACAAATGCATTGACAATGTCTCACTGTCTGGTGCGGATTTTGGGCCGGAGGCACCACGGACCATTCTTCTTTGAAAGTGCGGATGGTCAGGCCATAATAGTTAATGGTGCTCGCTATCGCGCCATGCCGTTTCAATGAAACGGTGTCATATGGCATACAGCCCGAGAAGCAATTCAATTACTGGTCGTGTAATTTCCCGTTTTGGTAATGAAAAAACTGAAACTGAGCGTTGTATCAACGAAATTCAGCCGCATTTATTCAAAACAGTCATTTTCAAATAAAAATACTAATGGGTAATATTTTGTAATTGAAATAAATGTTGATTGCAAATGATACAATTAATTAAGGCAGGAATTTTCGATAAATCAGTCCATATAATGATCCACAGTTGTTCCTGCCTTAGGATATACATGACATTTGGTTAGAACACTACGCCGAAACGTAAAGCTAAGATAATACCGTTATCTGCAGCGTCATGCCGGTTCTGTTACATAATACAGATGTGTGTAGGTAACTTACCTCTAATACTTCAACTGTAGCGTTAGGAAGCGCCGGCATTATGAATTCCGGCTTATGTTCGTTAACGTTCAGTACATGTACATGAATAATAGCCTTGTCGAATAAGTGTCCGTTGCCGCCGCCATCCCTGGCTTCTACCAGCAAATGGAACTCTCTTGTTTGACCCAGCAGGGATTTGTGGGGGTAAAGGATGCCGGTTTCTATTCCCAGTATGAACACGTCTGCAAAAATGTGAGTATTTTGTTATTTAAAGCAGCATTGTTTTGCAGGTTGTTATGCCATGACCTATACAGGGTGTTAGAAGTTTGACTGCCTTAATTTTAACAGACTACAGAATACATTAAAATAAACAAAAAAACCTTATATTAATAATAGCTGTTTACATTTTTTCCGTAGGACAAGTCTGCCGCGAGTACACGTGGCGTTCATCAGCAGGTTAAGCGCTGTTGTCACGTTGTGATGAAACTCCCCAATATAAATACTCGCTGTATTTTGAAAAGTGTTAATCTTACGCCCCTGTAATATACAACTTTTTTGTTCAATTATGATTACTCTATCTCATGCTGAAGTAATGGCAGTCAAACTTCGTACACCCTGTATACAGGGTGTTCCGAAATTCATGCAACAAAATTTGGTCACAGATTCTAAGACAAATTTAGGGGACCTGTATTTTTTATTTTTGCCAAGTGTCCCCCTTTTTCCGAGTTACAGCCCCCTGAAGTCTGCCCCTAAGAATAATCTTTTTTTTATATCTCAAAACCCTGTTGTACGAGAATCACTAAATTTGATACACAGGGGTTTTATGACATATGGAATCTGATGGTGCTACGTTTTTAGCGGGGACCCCCCTTAAGACAATTTTTCGTGGGCACCCTTGTTTTTGGAGCCAAAAAAATTTGGTCGCATATTTAAATTTCTAAAAAATTATTAGTCCACTAGAAAGCCATTAAATTTAGAAACTTTTTGCCTCTTTACACTTTTTTCGTAAAACGCAATATTTTCGAGAAAAATGTCAAAATGTGATCGAATCCATATTGTGAATCGCCATTTTCTTCAAAAACTTTGCGTTTTACGAAACAAATATCAAAAGACAAAAAGTTTCTAAATTTAATGGCTTTCTAGCTAACTAATAATTAAAAAAAAATCAAATTTGCTACCAAATTTTTCTGGTTCCAAAGTGGCGCACGAAAAAGTGTCTTAAAGGGGTTTCTCGCCAAAAAGCGTAGCACTGTGAGATTCCACATGTCATAAAATCCCTGTGTACCAAATTTAGTGATTCTCGTACAACATGCTTTTAAGATATAAAAAATACTTTTTAGGGGCAGATTTCAGGGAGCTGTAACTCCGAATGAGGGGGCCAGTTGGCAAAAAGAAAAAATACGGGACCACTAAATTTGTCTTAAGAATCTATGACCAAATTTTGTTGCATGAATTTCGGGACACTCTGTATAAGGTGGTCATGCGAAAATTGCACCACTTTCTTTCTTCCTGTTAGAGATACGAAAATGAGTTAAGAATACAAGTTGTACAATTTTTTTAAATTCTTTTGACACATCAGTAAAGATATAGATATACCGAGATATAGGCCTAACTTCTGTCTTTTTTAAATGGGACACCTTATAGATCTTCACATAATTGGAAAGACCGTCGACAGAACTGTTCGAAAGTATTTTATAGATACGTATACGTTGAAGCATTGGAAAAATAGTAACACTTAAAAAAAATATGTTAAAAACTAATAATTTCGTAAATAAAGTAAAATATTTACAGAAGCAGAAATAGTTTCAATTATATTTAATTTGTACTCTATTAGAATTTAAAAAAATACTATTTTGTTTCAGAAGATATCACTGTATTGCTTACTAAGGCGAGATATACGGGATATAGCAAAAGTACCGGAACGGCAGAATAACTCGGTGGGAGACCATTTTAGAGAAAAATACTAAATACAAAAGTTTCAGGATTTCTCCCTGGCTATCCGATAGTGACCTTGACATTGACCTTGACGAAAATTTCAAGGTCAAATGTGATTTTTGTTGACCTTGAAATGATCTTCAATGTCAAGGTCACCATTGGATAGCCAGACAGAAATCCTGAAACTTCTGTATTTAATATTTAACCAGCATTGAAAGACTGGTATGGTCAACTAAAAATCCCTAAATCTTAATGTCACCAATATTAATAATTCGTTTACAATGAACAATGACAAACCGTTAGGTCCACGCTCGAGATAATGCGATCGCTGATTGGTTGAATAAAATCTCGGGAAAAATTACACCAATCAGGAGCCAGGTGAAATAGAACGTTGTGTTATAATGTAATTTTACCAAAATTTAATTACCAACGTGAGGCAAATAAAATTACTGTCCTAAATAAAATTTACTGACCATAACCAGGGTGTTTAATACAACATTGCACATTTTATATAGCTTCTGTTTCATTTTGCAAAAAAAATAATTTTCTGTTGTCTGTACACAAATGAGAGATAGAGAAGTTCGACTGGACTATAACATGATTGACGTGACGTATGACGTCACGAACTGGCAATAGTGAATTGAACCAAGAAATAAATGTTTTATATACTTGAAATATATTATGTATGTTTCCCAAATAATGTTGATCTTAAAATACAGGCGTTCAGAAGGCTACAGTGATGATTCTAGTCTCATAAATGAGGTTCGATCGCACAAAAATAACTTTAGATTCGTGTTCAGCACCCCTGGAATTAGGGAAAGGAAAATTTTTGATTCGATTTGGGCATATTACGCTGCAGTAAATAATTACCTTTGTTTTCTTGTGTCGGCCAATATTACTTACCGTTATCATTTCCAGATATTATACTATAATGGATGTTCCCATTCATTCCAGAATCTTCGTCGGTGGCATTCACTTGTATGAGTCTCATGGGAGGATTCAACCTGACGTTTTCCATCACAGTCACATTGTACTCCTCTTGCGAAAACTTCGGCGCGTTATCGTTTAAATCGTTTATAGTGATATAAATCGGAACCGACATGGTTCTCCTCAAGTTACTCGGAGCACCGTCCGAAGCCACCACCTGCAGCACGGTCTCGTTGATTTTTTCGTGGTCGAGGAAGTTGGAGTTGGCGACGGTGACGTAACCCGTCTTGTTGTCTATCGCGAAATTCTCACTGTGCTCTCCTGTTAGGCTGTAGCTGACTTCTCCGTATTCGTCAGCGTCCAAGTCTTTCGCTTTAACCTCCACTATGAAGGTGCCGTTGGGTGAGTTCTCGTCGATGCTCGCGTTGTATTCTCTAGCCGTGAACACGGGATCGTTATCGTTAAGGTTGACGATCTTCACCAAGACTATCGCAGTGGCGTTGAGTTGAGGAACGCCACTGTCAAACGCCACAACGCTGAAGTTTAGTTCTTTGGTCTTCTCGTAGTCTATTTCCTGTTTGATTTGGACGATCCCGGTGCCGTTGTTTATTTGGAAGTACTCGCTTTCTGGCATGATGGAGTATCCAGCTATGTCAGAGTCTTCATCTATAGCTTTGTATGTGGCTACGATGGTGCCAACTGGTTGCTCCTCTTTTAGTTCCAGATAGTAGATGGGATTCTCTGCGGTCCAAGGTGGTAAGAACATGGGCGGAGAATCGTTCACGTCACCAATAGTAATCACTAGGAGTCCCTGACCTTGCTGGACGGTGGGGGCGGTGATGTCCGTTACTAATACCGTTATTCTTACAATGGCGGCCAGATCTCTTTGCAAAGGATTGATCACTGTTACTTTTCCCGTGTTTTTATCCACGGAAAAGAATTCTTTGAATGCATCGCTAGCAAGGACTTCATTGCCATGTTTGTCTAAGGCAGTGATGGGTTCTGTTGCTGCGAAATTTAAGGCTTCAGATGAGTTTACGTCCGGATCTAAGGCTACCAGCGTGTGAACGACAGTTCCAATTTCAGCGTCTTCCATAATCTAAAAAATGGATTTAACTTTGTATTATACAGGGTGTAACAAAAAAGGTGGGCTGGCTATACATAGCCATATTGTACTCATCAAGACGATCAAAAAAGTTTATATACACATCTGCTCTAAAATGATTCGTTTCTGAGTTATGGACACTTTAAGTTTTTAGTTTCCTATAGTTCTGGTACAGTAACAGACCATTATCAAGTAATCCAAGATTATAATTGCGGTTGGTGTCATGGTGACAGTTAAGTATCTGACTCTATTAATACATTTTTTAGTAACTAATTTTACTCACTGAAAATGGAAGATTATTCCTTTGAAGAAATGTCAAGCATGCATTTTATGTATGGGTTGGCATACTGCAATAGGGCTGAAGCAAGATGACTTTACGCAAAGCATTTTCCATACCGACGTTTACCCAATAAAAAAACCTTTGAAAGGCTACATAATAGGCTAAGGGAAACAGGATCTTTCAAACCGCGAGCCCGAGTTCGTGGTAGACCACGAACTGCAAGAACATTGCGCTTGGAAGAACGTGTGTTACATCGTGTTGAGAAAAAAGCAGGTGACAGTAGTCAGGTGATAGTCGAAGAATTGCATTAAGAGAAGGAGTTGATCGTATGACCGTGTGGCGGGTTTTAAAGACCAATCAACTTTATCCGTATCACCTACAACGGGTACAAGGACTGAGTGAACTTGACTTCCCAGCACGAGAAGCCTTTTGTGTTTGGCTATTGGAAACTTGTGACAACGACCCTCTCTTTTTGCCTTCCTTATTATTCACAGATGAAGCTGGCTTTACAAGAGATGGTATCTTCAATTTTCATAATGTGCATCTATGGCATGAAGAAAATCCGCATGCCATTATTCAATCCAGACATCAACATCAATTTTCAATTAATATTTGGGCAGGCATCATTGGTGATTTCTTGATAGGCCCTTTTGTTCTTCCCGGACGACTTAATGGCCAAAATTATCGTAATTTCTTAGAAAATGATCTACCAAACATGTTGGAGGATGTTCCACTGAGTTTTAGAGCACGCATATGGTTCATGCATGATGGGGCGCCGGCCCATTTCAGTCTCATAGCACGTGAATTTTTAAACGAAGCATATCCAGGCAGGACCTATAGCGTGGCCTGAACGTTCGCCGGATCTAAATCCCCTTGATTTCTTCGTATGGGGTCATCTAAAATCAATGATGTATTCTACTCCAGTTCAGGATATCGAGGATCTTCGGCAGAGAGTAGAAAACGGATGCCAGAGAATTCGGAACACACCAGGAATTTTTGAGCGAGTGAGGCAGTCCATGACAAGACGAGCTCAACAATGCATTGGTGTTCATGGAGGTCATTTTGAACATCTCCTTTAAGTTGATTTACTGTTGTTGTAGTTTTCATTATTTGTTACTCATTTAAAATCAATAAAAAAACGTTATTTATCAGACCAAGATTAAAGTGTCCATAACTCAGAAACGAATCATTTTAGAGCAGATGTGTATATAAACTTTTTTGATCGCCTTGATGAGTATATATGTATGTATGTATAGCCAGCCCATCTTTTTTGTTACACCCTCTAGATTAGTTGTTTCGTCATCAAAAAAATTAAGTAAAAGTGACAAGTACGCCAATGGGCGTACTTGAATTTAACTGACTTGCTATTTTATTTTCTAAACATACACTGCAAAAAAATTAAGGGAGCAGGAAAATTTTCAAAAAAATAACAAATTGAAGCTGTGGAATCAGGCTAGATGATCCTGACAGTAAAAAAAATTCTGAGCTCATGGTCAATTTTGAAAAAAAAAATTGCGCCTTGATTGCGCCAAGAGTGATATCCAAAAAAATTTTCATGTCTAGGTTTCAAAACTAGAATTTTCAAGACGCTTCTTTTTTTTTTCTGGATACGACCATTGTTTACGAAGTTACAGCCTTTCAAAAATCACTAAAAAAATTTGGAATTGTTCTGCTTTCTTAATTTTTTACTGAGTTTACTGAGTTTACTAGGGAGAGAATACTGTATGTTTGTAGCCTTCCATATTATAACAAAAACTGTCACAAATGTATTGCCTTCATTGTAGTAAAATAATCGATTTAATTTTACAAATTCATTTCTATTTTTTTCTCTATTTGTAGTGAATCCACTATCCATTTTGAAAATAATTTGAAAATTGTTTAAAACCCTTTATAGATTTATTTTTAAGAAATTTTGAGAAGGATTCTGACTATAAAAGTAGATAAGCAAAAGGAGATCCAGCTCAATTTGCATAATTT